AACCACAATTGCATGTTGGGATTATTCAAGTACCTTATTGATTTCCCATGTTTGTCCTTTTGTTTTGCTTGTTCTGTCATCTTTGGCCACATAGGAGTGTGATCAGAAAGCACTCCCAACATAGGTACACTCCAGCATTGTTACACCCTCCCCAGGAACTGCTGTGCACTGTAGATTGCTCTGTCTCTCAGAAGCACAAACACAATGTCCATTTCACTTATAAATATCCTGCTTTGAGAAACAAGAACTTGTTATACTTTCCTGAAATGTTTTTAAACGATGCATATTTTTAAGAATGCTTTTGAATTATTAAAATATTGGCAACCATATCCAACTCATCTGAAGTGCAGAATGCAAGTTAGAAAATCAAGTCTTACTTCTAAAACAGGATTTCAAAGCAAACTGCAGGTGGAGTCACTTTTAATTCCGACCCAGAAGGAGCATTTGATGTAGTTTTACAACTAGTTCTTGTTATTTCCAGCCTCGGATTAGTCAATAGATTCCGCAGTATTGAATTTCCAAACAACACTAAGATTTGTTTGCATTGTGCTATGTTCAGATCTTGACAGCATCCAAGCAGAAGCTATATGCCCTGCACTCTGGATATCCTTAGTTTTTTCCTGGGTGTCCAGTTGGATCTCTCATCATGTGAAGCAATTGGAACCTTAATAGAATTGCTTTCCAGCTTCATTGTCTTTGCCTGTAGAGCCTCTGTTTGAGGAGCATCTCAGGCAGTTGGAGATTTCTGCACCACAACTTACCAGAAGGGCACCGTGGGGGTGGATGGAGAGAATCTGCCCACCCTTCCCAAGTAGAGGATCTAGGGTTTTGCATTCTTAAGCTTCCTAGCCATTCACTTCGCACACTAAGTGTGAGGCTGCTGCCTTTCTGCTTATGTTCCCAACTTGTTTGAATTGCCATCAAAATGCAAATCTTAGCAATTACTTTGCTTTGTCCAAATAATTCTCTTCTGTGTCCTTACAGAATGTAGTGTCTCTTTTCAAAACATCTATACAAAGTTTAAGTATGCTTACTTTGCAATTTAATATTTCTAGGGCTAGGTGTTTAACATTTATTCCTCCCCCGCCCCATTCTGCAAGCCCAGAGACCAAGTAGAGCTTTGAGCAGTACAAAGTGCCGACAGAGCAGACCCCTCAGTTCAGCAAGAACGGTGTTAAAGGGGCAATTCGTGGAGCTATAGCAAGGCCCCCTTGGTTGGCCACCAAATACAGTGGAGAGATGTAAAATTAAAGGAGAATGCGGAGGTTGGTTTGGGTGTCATTGTGTATGGATATTTGGAGCCTTTAGACTATGTGAGAGTGAAGAGAATTTAAGGCAGAGCTGAGGGTTTCATTTGGAGAAATGGTAAGAGGAAAGAGCCGTCAATGAGTGTGGAAATATGCAGAGACCGGTAGATAGAAAGAAAACCAAGCAGAGTGTGGGTCCAGGGTATCAAGGGTTTTAATAAAAGTGATGGCTGAAATGTTAATTAAGCTAAAAGATCAAGGAAGACTCAAAGAAAGAAATGTCCCCTGGTTACTAAGGCAACATGCATGCAGCTTGTTAGTACCTTGACAGGTGATGTCCCTAGAGCATGAGGGGTCAGTATGAGTCACAGATCGAATTTAGGTGGCAAATGAAAATGGAGCCTCCAAGCAGTTATCTAAAGAAGGCTGCAGTATATTCACATGTATGCCTAAAGATGAAAGTTTTAAGCCAAAATGCCATCCAAACAATTAAAAGAGGCATAAAATATTTTTAGTACAAAAAGTTCTAAAATAGATAAATAATAAATAAATAAATAAACAAACAAACAAAATGACGGGACTCATCTAAACCTCTATTGTGTTTTCTTAAGGTTTTCTTTTTGTCGCCCACCTGGATGGAAAGACTTTGGAATCCCAAGACCATATAAATGTCTCCCTGCCTCATGGTTCATTGTTTTGTTCTTTCTTTTTATACCACAGAATAACAGGCTGAGGAAATATGCCTTTGAATTGAAAATGAACGACCTGACCTATTTTGTGCTGGCAGCTGAAACCGAGTCAGATATGGACGAGTGGATTCACACACTCAACCGCATCCTGCAGATCAGTCCTGAGGGGCCACTCCAGGGAAGGAAGAGCGCAGAGCTTGCTGAGCTGGTGCTGGGTAAGGGCTCAGAAAACCATCCCCCTGCTCTGGCCAAGTGTTGGCTGGTAGTGGCTGTCTTTCAGGCTGTGCCCTTCCATCCTTGAGCTACACTCTCTAAAACATTCACCCTAGATCTTTACTTTTACCAAATCATCGCAGTTGCCACCCTTTGGTGCAATTTTGAGTTGACTGGAAGGGACTTAAGGCTCTTCTCACCCAATAAACAATGTTGGTACTCATGACTCAGTAACACATAAATTATACACATTTCTGATGGCAAGATCTTATAGAAGGTACGTTTTGGATTTGGGCACTATATTACACTTAATAAGCATGATGTATTGTCTGTAAGAACAAACATGTTTTACTTCCTCTTAGCTACAAGGCATCTTTTTTGCATGCTGTTTTGACAGTCTTGAGTTCAGCTGATATATGAAAGTTTCAACATCATGTGTCATAGTGTTTTCATAAGACAAAAAAGAAAGCTGGAAGATTAGTTCAGTCACTAAAGTCCTTGCCATACAAGTGTGATGATGTGAGTGCAGATATCAGCACCCAGGTAAAAAGCTGGGTGAAGCAGTACACACCTATAAACCAGATACTAGGGAGACAGAGACAAGGACATCCCTGGAGTTTGCTGGACAGCCTGTCTAGCCATATCAGCCAGCTCTGAGTACAATGAAAGAACCTGTCTCATAAAATAAGGTGGGTAATCACCAGTAGATAGTTGTATTCACAGATGGTCCTGGTTAAACTAAATGGGTCACATAACAAAACCTCATGAATCTGAGGAAGGGACTGGTAACAGTGGTGTGGTAGCAACTGGACACAAGATAAGAAAGAGAAGAGGTGAGGATAATTGGAACACATTGCATGATTGTCTACAAAAAATAAGACAAAAGGCCACTGAGGGTGACAACAGACATGGACCTCTGGCCTACACACATACACATGTGCAGCACACAAACATGCACACACATATACATTTGCATTTTTTTTCTTTATTCCAGCCTAGTTCCCTCATAATATTCTAATCATTATAGACCAAGAGAAGGAAGAAAGAAAACAGAAAAGGGCTAAAATGTAACCATCAAGTCTTAGCTATATAGATGGGAGGTTCTCAGCCACTGATTCAGTCAGTGTTCCCCTTAGAACCCAAAATATAGCCATTATTAAGTTCTACTTACATGTGTGTCCTGTCCCCTAAAGTGAAAAAGTTACAGATAATGAGGAAGAAAACTTGCTCGTTTTCACACACCTGCCATAGGCCATAGCAGGTGTTTTTACAGTCACTTATTATTTGCTTACTAATTGTCAAATTGAGTACTCATGCTTTCAGTGTTCTGCAGAATTTAAGTAGCTGAAGCTAAAAGATGAGCTCTGAATGAATGCCCTAAGAATGAAAATTAGAAAAAAATTCACATATTCGTGAAAACTTTATTTTGCATTATTAAAGGAAGCCAAGACAACCTATACATGTTAGCATCATAAGGATCCAAAGTTCTTAGTGATACAGGATGATAGCATGGTATCATAGCAGCAATCCTAAAATAATTATCAGGAAGTTTCATTTCCAACACATGATTGTGCAACAGTCTGGCGTATTGTAGACGGGACAAAAGGAAAGTTGAGGTTCATCAGTATCCTTCTGAGCTCTTGAATCTAACCCCAGTATTTCTACAGATGAGGAAACTACAACTCATATTGTTGAATGACCTGTGTTGTTCTGTCTTTTCAAGATCCATTGGATAATTCTGTGACTTGTGAATGTACACTGGAGGAAACAGATTCTTCAGAGAACAGCCTACATCCCGACTTTGCAAAAGTAATGAAGTTGACATTGTATTTGCTTTCATGGGGAAAAAATGCCACTGCTTTCTTTTAAGATTTAGACTAAGAAACTAATCTAGAATTTTTCATCAATCAAAAGAGTTTTACTTAACATGATACAACCTTTGAAAATAAGAACATATTTTTTAAGATTTGCCCAGTTTTTATGGGTGACTGAACAGTAATAAAAATAAGGGGCTGTATCTTGGCTTTTGTGGTTGTGTTAGGCTCCATGAGGAAGTTTAGATACCAGAGATTAACACGGGTCTCTCCGCAGTACCTCACAGAAACTGAGGACACGGTCAAAACAACGCGAAACATGGACAGGCTCAATCTGTTCTCACTGGACCCAGACATAGACGTAAGTCGGGATTCTGAACAGAGATGAACTTGACCCAGATAACTGTTGATTTTAATTTAAAATTTCTTTTTTCATGATCAGCGTTGGCTAACTAAGACTTTTGAAAACTTTTTGTAGACACTGAAGCTTCAAAAAAGGGACCTTTTTGAACATGAGTTTGGGATCAAACCCTTTGAAGAGAAAGCTGCCAAGAGGATCATGATCATCTGTAGAGCTCTCAACTTAAATCTTCAGGGATGTGTTACAGAGAACGAAAATGACCCTGTAACCAATGTAAGTTTCTCTCTCATTCGATCAGACAACCAGTCAGCTGACATCACTCCACCCTAGCCCAACCTTTTATATCCTTTCTAATCTCAGGATTTAGCATCTAGTGTACAGGGAGTCTATTTGCCAACACTTCTCATATTGCAAAGGTACACAAGTTCCGAGGAAGAGTTCTTCATATACTGCTATGAAAGTCTCCTCTTTTTTTTTTTTTTTTTTTGGTTTTTTGAGACAGGGTTTCTCTGTGTAGCTTTGCGCCTTTCCTGGAACTCGCTTTGGAGACCAGGCTGGCCTCGAACTCAC